TTTCGACGTCTACTCCTACCGTAGCTATAGTGCAGCAGCAGGAGAGCTCTTTCAGACCCTGTCCCTGCCACGCATACAGGCGAGGAACAACAGATTACTTTTCAATGGGTCTAACATTTATGAAGAATTAACTACCGGAGATGAGTGGCATATAATCAGCCACAATATATGTGATACTCTCCTGTACGGAGGAGATGGTCTCATGTCCTGCCGAGTGCTGAGGCCAAACAGGACGATTCAGCCATGCACCGTGACCACTGCAGCTACATTTTGCGAGAACATTCATTGATTAGAGCGGCAGCGATCCATCTACAGTCGGGCGGCCACATGTGCTGAGCCCCAGCTCCCATGCTGTGCCGGACCTAGGGTAGGCCACGAGGTGCGACGGCCGAGGACCCAAGTGAAAAAGGGGCCCAAGCTTAATATATAAACTCTCAGATTCTATAGTCCATTAGATATTAGTAAACTAATGAGAAGAAAGATATATAACTGGCCAGACGATCCAAAAAGACAACATCAGCATTTCTTTTCTAGTTTCCTTTCTCCACGGCCCTCGGGTAGAGAGGAGGCGAGAAGTCACGCTGCACACAACACACTCTAATCGTGAGTTCGCGACATGCGTCTTACATACGCGGAGCTGGCGAGCCATGCCACCGTGAAGAGCTAGACTACCGGAGACACGGACACGGCGCACGAGGACGCCGACCAGGCAGGGCTCCAACGACGACATCTTGATTCTTAGCTTCTTACGAATTGCGATCACCGATCAGCTGTTTAGGTCTAAGGTATTTTTTTTCTTTTTATTTTTAATCCAAATTAATTAATTATATAGTATTCCAGACTTCTAGTACTTTGTACCCATATAGTCATATTTTTCTTTTAATTTAGGTGTTAAAATTTTAGAATGTTACCTAAGAAACATTTGTCATGGGTGAGAAAAAAAATAAATATATTGTTTTTTTAATCTATATTTTTCCTCGATAATTATCATACACCTACAAATATATTGCTTAATCTACATTGTTCATCGATAATTATCAAACATATTAAATTAAAAATATATTATTGAATTTACTTTCGTTTTATAAGTAAAATTAGTATATATATATTTTAAGATTTTATACATTGTCAAGAGGGCCTTGTGACGAGATTGCCAGAGAGCCATTAAAATCCTAGGACCGACACTGCTCCCATGCAGGCATGGGCACACACAATCGCATCCGGCGACGAGACAAGAACCCGTCGGATGTACATGTACCCGTGTTAGCTAATAAGTTAAGCACGCATGGCAAAATCATGCTAAATTGTTCTCATCCGTGTTGCCTTATGGAATGCTTATACGAATCACATGTTTCCATTCTGTACTATCTCTTTACTACGGGCATCACAGATCACACAGTAACAAACTGCTGGTAGCTGAGCTGCCGGTGCCGGTTTGCCTCTCACTCTCGTCACATGACCAGCGACGACCAAGTATTCTGCGGATCTCCAGAAAGAGGAAGCGGGTGCCCTTTTCTTGCCATGAGAGCAACAAGAGTCCTGTGAGATCATTGCCATGTATATCTTTTTATATATGCATCTTTTCCCGTGCTCCTTTCGCCCTTTGTTCCTTCACATCACATTCACACCAGTCGGCAAAAGCGAGCCTCTCCCGTGAGGCACAGCACAGCCATTGCCCCCCATGGGATCGAGGGGCACTGGTGCAGGTGCAGCCAAATCAAGGAAGGGCTCACATGGAGGAAGAAGAACCAGTGGACAGTGCCACAAGACATTTTTGGCTGAAATGGACTCTTTGCTAGGCGACGAAAAGATTGGTGGTTCGTTCTAGTAGAGTAATTTACATGGCACAGTGCATGCATATGGCACACAGGAATGCACCCGTGCATGCGCAGTCCAGTTGTGCCGTCGAGTGGAGGCTTCAGCGTCAGTGCTTCATGATTCTCTCGTCTGCAGGCTGCGCTGCTAGATGCCCTGGATGGATTGCCTTGGCATATTTTCTGATCGCATTGCCATGATGCCATGCGTCCATGCATGGTAAGCTAGCACTCGATGTTGCATGCATCTCGTGTTGAATTGTGCGTCTGAACTGTGGCGAGGCTTCTTAATTCTTTGCACTATATATCGTTCTCATCACGTTGATGTTTTAATTTGTTATATAGTTGCTCTTACACGGCTACCGTCCCTGACGGCCGCCGTGCAATGCGTAGGTCGGGTATGCAAAGCCTTCGGATTGGAGACAAGCTAGCTGCACCCAATTTTTTTCTTCTTCTGTTCTTGACGGAGAAGGATGGTCTCAATCTTATGCTAAGGTGTGTTTAGCGAAGCTTCTTTGTACGCTAGCTTGGAGAAGCTACGTTCAAGCGGCTTTGCTTTTGTAGTAGAAGAAAATGGCTTATCTGAAAATTTCGCGTCGTCTCGTACAGGCGACTCAGGGGCAACTCGCCTCTGCGCACCGAAATGATAGGCTTGCTCTCTGCAACACCTCCTTCCTCCCTCCCCTACTTTTCTTCATGCCAAGCTCTGGAACTCCATAGAGCGAGGTGGCCGGCGACAAGCTGGATCTGTGTCCTCTAGGAACAGATCAGGTGCTTTGTTTCATATCTGGTGTCCTCATACCTAGTGGCTCTCACCGTGGGCTAGGCCTACCAAGGGCATTTGTTAGTCTACGTCTCGTATGGGAGTCGGCCCATGGCGGCGGTGGCGGCGGGAAGGCGGGGATCAAGAGCGTCCATTGTCTCATCTACAAGCTGACGGGTGTGGTGATTGTGTGTGATTGGTGCATTTCATTGCCTCGCGCGATCTATCAAGGGCTGAAGCAGTGTTGCGCCCCAATGCTCGTTTGGCACTAGATTGTTGGTCTCCAAGGCAGGGCCTTTCCCTTGCTCTGCAACGCGCGAGGTTCGCGACATGGTGGATGAGGGCTGGTGTTGCGCTATAGCTGCTTTGCGCGAAGTGTCAAGGGCTCAAGCAATAGGTGTGATCAGCGCCTTCATTCTACCGTGCAACACTCGTCGAAATAGGCGTGAGTTTGTGTCTTGGTTTCGTCATCATTGTTATGAGTGGTAGCCCAACTGTTGAGGTTTTGGGGAAGTCTAGGCGAAAGCCATGCATAGCTTTGTCGGTGTTGTCGACGGCGATGCCTTCAGCATCGCTAACGTCCTTGGAGGCGTCGTAGTAGCCTTCTCCAACCCTGGAACTCTTGGGTACCTCCAGGTGAAAAACCTAGTTCCGGTTCACAGTTGATGTTTGTCTCATATTTGGCCAAGCGCTTTCTCTAGGGTTCACTGCTAGCTTTCTCTATATGGGTGCACAAGTTGCTTGCTGAATGGTGTGTGCAATTGGTTTCATCGCTCTAACGTCCTCTAGGATCATTGATTACATCATCTCAACTTATGCTGGGTTAGCGAGAGCATGGTCCCTCTCTTGTACCTCCTTGTTCTCCATTTGTCGGCCCTCCCTCCCTTAAGACTTCCCCCTTAAGGGGCATTGGCGGGCGATGACTGGATCCCGGATGCACATCATAGATGATGCATATCACGATTATCATCTGTCAACCTCGACTCTATGCCTTACAGTCACATGGAAATTGAAGTTCTTTAGAGAGCTATCACTTGGTGGTGCAATGTTCGGCGATCAACGACATGTTTTATCATTGAGAGACTATGTTGAAACATGTAGCTTTGTTGCCCCACCTCATATACCTTGTTTGTGGTTGTTTTCCCCTGTGTCGTGTTGCTACTGTTAGTGTTTGTGTCGGTGTTTCTGTCTCACCCCTGCTATGTACCTCTGTGGTTTGCCCCGATAATGTAACATTCCATTCTCGATCCAATCTATCGGTGTTGCACTCCCCATCGTCACGACTGCCGCCACCACCGCCTGACAGTTCACTGGAATTGGGTCTCTAACTAGTATTTTTAGATCTAAGAATAATGGGAGATAGAGCAGGTAGTGGAGATTCCATTTTGGAGGTTATGTGTGTCATTTATGGAGCAGAGATAGCCAGCCTTTCGGCCGCCTCGGAGGTTCGATGGAAAAAAGATCCCCAGCTACTATTTATATCTAAGAATACCCGAAGGTAGAGGAGGCAATGAAGATTCTATTTTGACAGTTCTAGGTGTGAGCTATGATGTTAAGATGGCTGGCCACAGCTTGTTTCATCCATGATGGGTAGCTCGGTACCTACGGGGACGACGTGTATGTTTTTTATACCAATAAAAGGGAAGTGTCGTGGATTGTGTTTTTTTGGTACCTATAGTTTCTAGAAATGTTAAGAAATGTCGTGTATGTTAAGAAATGTTTCAAAACTAGGATTTGGGGACTTTTTTTTAATATTGATTGATAGAAATGCTCTTTACAAGAGAAGCGAATTGCGGATTCAACAAGATTATTTGCTGCTAAATACTCTACTTGACAGTTTGACACTAAAGCCGGAGAGGGTCGTTCCGTGTTTCTCCTTTATGTGCGCCTAGCATTTGGGCATGTCAGCATGTCACGCGATCCTAACTCGTATCGTAGTCGTAGGCAGTGTGACCTGAGGCAGGCTTTGGAAGTCTGGTCACTTGTGTCGTTGTGCCGCTATTCCATTCCCCTCGTCGTGCGCTCGCCGCTCCGCCCCAAAGCTCGCCGATCCCCAGGACAAGGGGGCCTCGTCGTCGCCTGCTCCCGAGAGTCCAGCGCATGCATCAACAGTCGCGCGCTCGTGCTGCGCCTGCGCCCCGGCCGGTGGGTCCGCCGCCCTCTGCTGGACCCACCCGTCTCCACCTCCATTGACTACCTTGAACTTGAAGACGCCAAAGCGGTCGGTCGCCTTCCAGTTCAGCACCACCGTGCAGTTACAGTTATCACACTCCACGCACCGCTGCTTCCACCTCTCTTCTCTTCCTGGTTTCCTTGTTCGACCGGCTCGACGCGAGCGCGGCAAGAATCGCGGTGCATGTGAGCCTTGTTCGGAGAAGAGGTAAACGATGCAGCTGAGTCTCTGAGAGCTCCGGACAGGGAGGATGGGAGAAGCAGGGGAGGAAGAATCCGCGGCCGCGCCGGCGGAGGTGAGCCGTCAAGCGGAGCTGGATGAGCAGCGGTGCCTGGCGGAGGCGCTGGACGCCATCAGTTCGTTGGTCTCTGCTTCTTTGTCCGCGACGCTGTTCCCGCTCAAGTGGCAGCTCATCAGGGACCGGCTCAACCGGCTCCACGCCGGCCTCGCCGACATCACCGTCCCCGCGGGTGACGAGAACAGCGAGGACAGGTGCGATGTGTTCGCGAACCTCCTGCGGGATGTCGCGGCGGCCGCCCGGGAGGCACGGGAGCTGGTGCCGCGGAGCCAGGGGCGGCACTACGGCGGCGGCAAGCTGCGGCTGCGCAGCGACCTCGACGTCCTGTCCGCGGCGCTCGACGCGCACGTGGCGCGGCTGGACGAGGTGTACGCGTCGGGCGCGCTGACGCGGGCGCGGGCGCTGGTGGTGCCGCGCCCCGGCGCCGGGGCCACCCGCGACGACGTGCTGTTCTATGTGCGCGACCTCTTCGCCAGGCTCAGGGTCGGCGGCGCCGAGATGCGGAGGGAGGCCGCGGCCGCGCTCAGCGAGGCGCTGCGCGACGACGAGAAGTGCGTCCGCGTCGTGGCGTCCGACGTCGCGGACGGCGTCGGCGTCCTCGTCGCACTGCTCGAGTGCCCCGACGCCCGCGTCCACGAGGAGGCCCTGGAGGCGGTCTCGGTGATTGCCGGGTCCGACGCGCACAGGGGAGACCTGGTCGTTGGCGGCGCCATCGCGCCCGTGGTCCGTGTCCTCGACGCGGGCGCAGGCAGCGAGGCGGCCAAGGAGACGGCGGCGCGGGTGCTCTGCAAGCTCACCGAGAACTCGGACAACGCGTGGGCCGTCGCCGCGCGGCGGCGTCACGGCGCTGCTGGACCTGTGCACGGACCACGGAGCGAGCGGCGGCGAGCTCGTGTGCGCGGCGTGCCGGGTGCTTCGGAGCCTCGCGGGCGTCGACGAGATCAGGAAATACATGGTGGCCGACGCTGGCGCCGTCCCGGTGCTCGTGTCTCTCTCGCAGAGGGCCACGGACGACGCGGCGCGAATCCAGGCGATGGAGCTCCTCGCCGCCATCGGCTCTGGGGATAGCTCAGCCAGGGAGGCCGTGGTACAGGAAGGCGCCGTCGAGTCCCTCGTCCGCGCGCTCGATCCCTCCTGCCAGCAGATGCCCTCCTCCTCCTCCTCCTCGAAGGTGCGGGAGGTGGCCCTCCGTGCCATCGACGCGCTCTGCCTGTCGCCGCCCACCTCCACGGACCGTCTCCTCGCCGCCGGGTTCCTGGACCGCGTCCTGTCCCTCCTCCGCAACGGCGACACCACACTGCAGCACTGCGCCCTGAAGGCTGCGCACCGCCTGTGCCAGGTATCGGAGGAGATCAAGAAGGCAATGGGCGACGCCGGATTCATGCCGGAGCTTGTGGGCGTCCTCGGCGCGTCCAAGTCCCCCGAGGCGCGGGAGATGGTGGCCGAGTCGCTCTGCGCCTTGGTGTCCGTGCACCGCAACCGGAAGCGGTTCGTGCAGGAGGACCGGGATGTGGCGCGGGTGCTGCAGCTGCTGGGCCCCGACGAGGAGAAGCCCACGCCGGCGAAGCGGTTCCTGCTGTCGACGGTGATGCACCTCACGGACAGCAGCTCCGGCCGGAGGAAGATCATGTCCTCGGAGCACGTTAGGTACAAACTACACACACACCTATCAATAGCCAATCATCATGTGCTCATCAATTCTCGCTGCAATTCTCTTTTTTTTTTATGTGTGCTTGTGTTCTTGTGGCAGGAATCTCGAGAAGCTTGCGGAGACCGATGTCCCGGACGCCAAACGGATCGTGAAGAGGCTTGGCGGGAGCAGGCTGAGGAGCATTTTCCATGGCATTTGGAGCCTGTAATGTAACGCTTGGAGACAACCATGCAGTAGCTGCCACTTACTAGTACTATATATCTGGCTAACACACATACTATGTTCCTTGCATCTTTTGTTACTGTGAAGGAATGAAAGAACGAATCACCCAGTGATTTGTCCCCTACATACCCCATGTGTATATCACTCGTCTCTGTCAAATAAAAGTGCAACGCCCTGTTCGCTTGATCGTTTACATGGTTTATAAAATTCGGATGATCTTTGTTTTGTTGTTTAAAAAAAGCGTATCATGGGCGATAAAGTGGCTGATAAGATCGAGCGAAGAGGGTGTTGCACCTCCTCTCCTGCTTGCGATGATCTCCTCTCCTGCTTGCCCCAGAGCATATTCATCTCTGGCACAAAAGGAGGGCCGCGTGGCTCGTTACTGATGACTGATAGAAACCATTCGGCAGGAAATGGCAAAGCAGGTAGATCAGTAGATGAAGATGCCCTGTCAGTCAGAAACCATTACTGATGAGTGCTTTCCCGTTCTCGCTGGCAGTGGGGTCTCCGTCGCGTTATGATCTTGTGTGCAGGACCAGCCGGTACTGCGTGCCTGCCGACGAGCTGCGATCATGGGCTGCTGAAGCTCTCGGCTCTGGCGATCGCAATAAGTCGCCGTGTTCTTTACCTCCATCCATCCATGTGGATATACTTATTGCATCCAGAGCTGTGGATCTGTTGCTGCTGTGTCTGCATTCCTCTGGAGTAATGTAACTGTGCGTGCATCTCGCGTGCTGCAGCTTTTCGGGCGTTCTGAAGATTGTACTCTCCAGTCAAAGCAGGGCAATGAATTTCTCTGACTGACCCTGGAAGACACTTGTAAAATAAAAATCTGTAATATTGATGGTTGATGCAGAACCACGGTCCCTGAACAGAGTTCCTTTATGTGTTACGGAGTACATACGTACACAAGTACTGTGCTTTGAGTTCACTAGCGAAAAATGGCTGAACCTGAAAACTGGATCAGTTAAGTTTCTTCCCAGCGTATAAATCTGTTCCAGGAACCGCCCCGCATCCCGGCGTGCTTCCATTGCTGATGCTGAAACCTCGCTGTCGAGACTCGAGAGCCTCAGGGCCAATAAATTGCTGAAGAAGACCGGGTAGTAGCCTTGGCATCAGCATGATCGCTACGTTTCTTGTTCTCTGTCGCCCTCTGGGCTCAACAGTAAAGTCAACTCTTTGCTAATATCTCAGTTTGCTTCAAGTTTCAGACAAGATGTTCCATCAAGCAGTCAGCAGCATGACTTCAGAGCATACATGAGCCGCGGTGGGCGGTGGCAGTTGGAGAACACCCTACCGGCCGGCGGCTATTGGCACCTGTCGATCGTAGGAGTTTCAAGAATCAAGACGATGGGCGACAGTGCATCCGGAAACACGGCACCATTGCTTCAGACAGGACCAGTTTCTTTTCGATGGGGATGGAAGTTCAGTAGTTTGTTCCCCGGTCGTCAGTCAGTCAGACGAGCTGCCTTTTCCAGCGGCCATTCACTGAGCGGTGAGCCCATGAAAACAGGTGCCCAACACTCCAACAAGCTGCTCATTCTGCTTGATGTTCAAGTCCAACCACCGGCCGGCCAACCTTAGGATTGGTCGCACCGTCAGCTGCCCTGCCCAGTGGCATTGGTTCCTGTGATGTGTGAGCCGTGTGAGGTGTCTCCAAGTCCAAGGCAGCTGAAGAAGGGGGGGTGGGGGGGGCGCCGTTCTGCAGCAAAGCAAAAGGTTTGTGTTTCCTTGGAATATCAATGCTTAAAAGATGTTCCGGTTTTCTGGAAGACCGTGAGGGGATCAGGGAATTGTTGGGTTAGGTTGGCAACTACATCATCCGGAGATTATGTTAATCTGATGGTAATGGAGTACCTTTTTGTTGAGTTGACCGCCTATAGAAAAAGTGAGCCCTGTGCCCCTGTCAACAGAGCGCCAAAAGTTTTGCTTACAGACAGCGTAGGGCCCAACTATCCTCTGTTCTATGGTTCTGAATTTACACTGGGAGATGGGGAAATCAAAAGGCACGAAAGTTAAGAGTGGATCATGATAAAGTATATTTAAATTTACTTTAAATCGAAATCAACAAGGCGTTTGTAGTCCAACGGTTAGGATAATTGCCTTCCAAGCAATAGACCCGGGTTCGACTCCCGGCAGACGCATTTTTTGTCCCGTGGTTATCTCGTCATAGGACTCCCGGTTTCCTTTCTTTTGGACAATTGGACTTTTGGTGCGCATGTTACCTTGGGCTTCAGGCCCGTGGGAATCCTCGGTAAACGGCCATTACACTCGTCGAAGGAACCATGCGCCATGAGAGTGAAGCAGGTTGAAGATGTAAAGACATTGGGCCATGTAAACCACCAACAGGCGCAACAGAAGCCCATGAAGGGGTCTTCTTTTTTTGTAACAAAGCCCATGAAGGGGTCTTGTTGTGTGTCTCGGTGACTCCATCCCTCTTGCTTGCATGCCGCATTGCCGCTAGCACCAGGCCACCAGCAGCTGCTACCTGCTATTGTGCACCTGGATGTAGGCGAGTGAATCTTTGATCACCCACACTTCTTTGATTGCTTTTGTTTATTTGTATGGACGTAATTAAGATAGACAGTTCCATAGGAGAATCATACATGCAACATCAAACAAAATTGCTTACTACAGCTATGTGCTAACTTTTTGAATCTTAAAAAATATATAATTACAAACTAAATATCCATTTTAGTTTCTGATTACGCCATTGTGTTTGTTACAATAAATGCTTTTAAACAAGACCCACTTACGTATATTTAGATAAAAACTATTTGAAGGATATTTTTCTCTCGGGATAGAATATTTTCTCTTTATTGTGTAGGGATAATGTTCTATGTTTTACGACAAATTACTATGTCTTCGTAACAAAAATATTCTAAGTTCAAAGAGAATAATATTCTAGATTTAGGATAATACAATTAAGTTCGGGTAAATGATATTTCGTAATATTCATATCCAAGGTTAAGGTAAATGACATTCCATAATATTCGGGGTCTAGTCTAGAAAAGAGAACTTCTAATTAATAGAATGGAAATAATTGAAATATATCATCAACTATTCCATGGATATTATACAAATAACCTAAATTAAGTCATTTATCGCTACTTCGTGAACAATAAAAAATACACCATGTAACATCTCACTTATGAAAAGCTGTGCGCGGCTGCTGCGGACGCTTCCTCTGTCGGTGCTACGGTGTTATGTGAGGTGGCTTGCAGCCGAACGGCAATAGCTGCTGAAACACACCATGGATAATAATACGTTGACAACTCAAAAAGGAAAAAGATTTATCGTAGTATGCCGAAGTTTGGGTGCGAATGGCCTTCGACCTCGAACCGGGCCACAGCCCACAGGCTTGCCCTTTTTTGCTTTAACGTGGTCACGCCCAGCACCCAGGTGGGCCATCAGTAGAACTGCATTAGTTTTGGACCGGCTGAGCCAACTGCATTCTCGTTTGATCAATCTTTGATCTCAGCAGTTGGTTTGTGAATTCCCATAAAGAAGCAGTTGGTTTGTGAATAGCCTGGAAAGAAGTTAGTTTCTGAATTAGAGATGCCTCTTTTGTCCAGAACTTGCCCGGACAAGCATTTTTTTTTAGCACTGAGAAGAGGAACAAGAGTTACGCACTGTTTCGTGAATTCCCTAGAGATTTCAGTTCACTCACCTCTCCCGTTTGACAAATGACGACCTCCTCCCAGACCGGAGAGCGGCGACTGCCGGAGTGCCGCTCGCGCTCGCCCAACTGTCGGTCGATGCGTTGGCTTCCTAAGTTTGAGCCACGATGGCAACGTGTGGGCACGAGCACGACTCGCAGGCGACAGAAGTTGCGATTCCAGATCACAGGGGAGAGCAGCAGCATTGCAAGTGGCGATACGTGCCTCCCGTGATAGGTGACGAGCCACTACAGCCCGAGCAGCAGGCAGGGGCGCCCTTCGGTTCGTGTGTGGATCAAATTCTTGGATTTCACTTTCTGTATTATTACCGCTGCACATGAATGTCACTCTCGGAAGAATGTTGCACATGACTCGGACGGCATTAGCGTCTGCAAATGTAAGGACACGAGAGTGTGATTCTTCTGTGATCTCACTTGCTTTGGTAACGAAATTAGGGTTTGCATTAGCATTATTTAAACGATGTGCTCTTTGGCCGATGAAACGCTTTTGATTAGGACCGGGAAGAAACATTGTCTTATCCTGTTGTGGAGAATATGGAGCGAATATTTTAGGCCGGACTCAACTACGCACAACGATACTGTATATATAGTAATATATTGGAATCTTGGCAGGAAATTATTATATATTAATCTACCAGTGGTAGGGATAATGACAACGTGACCAAACTTTTGAGTTGCGGACGCCCGTTTTGCACATGTCGTCGGTTCCATCGGTTAACATTTAGCAAAGGGGGAGCAGTTCAGCATATTGCATTGTCGCTTTCTTAGATCACCTTTCACCTCTGAACCTCACACGAGGTCGGTAGGTAGGTATGCTTACTGGCGGGGCCGCTCCGTCTGTTTGATGGTTAATTTCTGGGTTGATAAGTTTGGCTGGTGCTGATTTGTTGTGAGTGAAAAATACTATTGGTTGATTGATAAGCTCTTGCCGAAACCAACTAGCAAACAGGCGCTGAACGATGAAAAATGGAATCTGCTTGACTTGTATACTGTATTGCTGTATGCCTTTGCCTGTAGCGACGTCAGTGAAAGAGATGCGCACGCCTAGCTGTAATATGCTCTCTGAAACGTGTGAAGCATGGTGAATACTCGTGCTTTATGTTACGAGAAGGGTCTTGATGAACGCGACGACTGTGGAACTGGAAGGTGACAGTCTTAACTGTTGACTGTTGAGGTAGCTGTGAGACCTACCGGCGACCGCGATCGAGTGAGTCCCCCAGCATTGACTTTGAAAATAATCTACGTACTTACAGTACATCTCAAGTAAGAAAATTACATCGTCCTCAGGTAGAGGACGGGTCGCGAGT